AGTATATATTATTAGGAAGATACTTTATCAAGTATGATGAAAATATAATACTGGAAAGTAGATCTCCTGAAAATATGGTGAATTTCCAATAGATATTGAACAACTGTCCATAGAATACAAAGGGGCTTTTTAATGACTGTTCTTTTCAGTAGGAAAAAGACAAAATAAATATAATTTAAGAATAATCTATAAATTTTGACTAGAATCAAAAGGTACCATGGAAAGAGAGAAGAGGTATAAGACATGTAATAGCTAGCGTTTCTGAAATATTTGTCATTTTCTGAGACTATTGTATTGTTTATATTTTTTACATTATCCACATATGACAATCAGTCTAAATTGAGATGTGCCATAAAATGTAGGCCAAATTTCAAGTACATAGAATAAAAATACAAATGATGAGTACTTTTTAAATTAAATGTTAATTGATAATATTTTAGTTACAATGGATTAAAGAAAACATATCAAACTTATTTGAAGTATATTTCTCTTGTTCATTTGTGTACAAATATGAACCTATCAATTCTAAATACAGGAACTTTTACAAATTGTGATTTTTTTTTTAAGGAAAAATGTCAAATAATGTTACTAGAGTTATTTTAAAAGTTAAATATGCATCTTCTTGGGGATTTCTATTGCCACTTTCCACAATAATGGCATTTGAAGATGGTCTAACAAGCCGTTCTTACTTCCTTCGAAATGCAAAGCGTCCAACCACATCACCCAGCATGGCTCAATATATTCTCTTGCTGTGGAAGAAAATAAACAGGGCTCATCTCAGGCTGTGAACTTCTACAAGCCACCAAATTCAGGCCGCTTAGGCTTCCCATGAAAAGGAGGTCTTCCTGTACGTTTCAACATACTTCTTTCTCTGAGTGATATGCAAATATCAAATAAGCAAATAATAAAACTTTGATATTAGACTAGTTGTGCCTTAGATCTGACATTGTTTAATAATGTGATACACACAGGCACTGGCCAAAGAGAACTCTGAGCACCTGCTCATCTGAATGCCATAAATCAAAGTCTAGCGAATATGTTTAACCATGTTAATAAAAAGCTTTGACTCATTTCCTCAGCATGAAAGAGAAAAAATGTTTTGTCTAGATTAGTGCAACGTCAGTTATAGAGAATCATTCAGCCGAAATGTTTCCAGTTCAGCATCACTGCCAACAGCTATCACAGATGATTGATCTGAGTAGTGGTAGAGAATGAACTGCACTTTGAGGGTCTGGGCTGCCCTCCTTGAAAATAAGAGAAAAAAGATTCTTCACAGCATCTGAGTTGGTGACTGAAATGCTGGTGGACAGGGCCCAAGGGAATTCTCCAAGTGGATATGAGGAATTTTCACCCATCCTAGCAGTAGCATAAGGTGTGGATTGGCTGACTTCCTTCATAGAAAAGGAATTTTCCGGAATAGTCAGAAGGGACATAAAGAGATTTATTAGGCAAAATTTTAAAAGTACACACTCAAAGCATTCTGATCCTCAAGAGAAAGGGGTGCATTATGGCTTGAGCTGGGTGTATTTACAGGGATTTGGGTGGAAACCTGTGGAATCTATAGAAGAAAGGAGCTGAAACCAGGTGACAGCCAACAACGGTGATGGGGTCGGTTCCGCCACCTCCAATTTTGTAAGTGAGAAAGAATAGCTGAGTCCATTTGTAAGGAGAAAGTATGGCGCAAGACAAGGAATAGCCCAAACTTAAGGTGTCGTGAGCAAGAAAGAAATTAAACTGGTTTTGTGAAGGTCAGTTTTTATTTTAAAACATCATTTCTCTTCTTTTCTTTCTATCTTTATGTCTTCTATCTTACTTCAGGGGTGACAAGCAAAATGTTGACTCATCTCAGGCAAAAGGAGAAGCAAAAGTTAAGATTTTTTCACCTTGAAATGGGCTCAGGAGGTGAAGAGTGGATTTAAAATAATTTAGAGAATTTCTGTAGTGAGGTTATGAGTCTAAATTGGCCTCCTCAAATGTAATCTCTAGTCCTCTGGTGCTCTTTACATGTTAAGAGTTGAAAACGTGCTTCAAGTGACCTTTGCAGGGGCCCATGTGAATGAAGATAGTTCACATAGAATTCTCTATTTAAGAAAATTCCAGTTCTTAAATTTCAGTAAATTAAAATTTGAAAGGAATATGCGGACTGGGGATTTATCTCAGTGGTTCCGCCACCTGCCTTGTGAACACAAGGACCCGAGTTTGATTGCCAATACCAAAAGTTAATTAATTAATAATAAAATAAAAAGTAAAAGTAACCTAATTACCTGTCACTATACTTCCAGATACATTCACCTTAAATTCTTTGAATTGTAAGCTTTTTCAGAACATTTAAAAGTGATTTAATTCACCTGGTTTTTGCAGTTCAATGCTCTATCATTGAGCTATATCCCCAGCTTTGGTTTTTGGAATATAAATAATAGCTACAGAAAAGTGCTCCTAATGGGAAAGGAAATTATACAGTCCCGACCTGTTCCAGAAATTTGTGATTGACAACAACAAAACCTAAGTAATATTTTTTATAGTAATAAATATTTCCCTCTAGTAATAAGTAAAATGACATTTTATAATAATAATTAAAGCAGTCTAGTCAACATTTTAACTTTGACCTAATAATTTAATTCCTGAAAATTTTGTCTACAGACATTTGCATATGTATGTTAAGTGCCATATATCTAAGGATGTTTATTGCCAAACCATATATGAATAATAAAAGGCAGTAGAAAATTTCCAAATACCATTAATAAGTAACTAGCAAGTTATTATGCAAATTATTAGTAAATTATTATATCACTATAGGACTACATATGTAGTCACCTACATATATGACTATGTATTCATTTTGAAAAAGCTGTATACGTATTAAAATAAGATTCTATTATTTAAAAAGTTAAATTTAAACAACAAATATATTCAATCCACTTTTCTCCACTGTTCAAAATGCATAATGTGTGTTGCTAAGATATCTTTGAGTTTATATTTAGTACTATCTCAAAGGATGTGGGACTATGAAAGTGTTAGGATGAAAAGTAGAACAACGTTTGAAGTAGACTTCCCTTTACATTAAAAAAAAAAAATTATATGCTATGTCAGTCCCCTGTGGAAGAAGCTTGTGCTAGTAGTGTTTATTTTCGAGGTGGGTAACCCAGTGGCTGGTGTGGTGAACGGGTGGTTTCTCTCCAAATCATGGGTAGCTTTCAAATGTTACAATGTATTTGTATTACCTAGTCACAAAGTTAAACAAAATTTTATAAAATGATTGAAGGGTTGGAAAGTTTGCGCTTTAAGGAGAGAAGGGATGACAAAAGAAACAAAGGAAGTGTCCTTTTAAATTTGTCAGAATAATCTCCCATAAGCAAAGAATGAGGAAAGACTGTCTTGTTTTAACCAGCTCAGTTATTGATAAAGTGCAGGAGGTTTGGAATTGCCTAAGGTGCACCAGTGTTAGGTAAATAATATATTTAGTTGAAGATACAGCGAAAAGAGACGTCTGCTTTTAGATTCTCTCCATTGTCCGTACTGCGTCACATACTTTGGGCAAAACTGTCTACAAGGAAGTCCCTTTAACACAACAAACACCACTCTGGGACACTTGCAGGAAGTGAAGCCATAAATCAGAAAGGCGACGGAACATAATAGACATGGAAGCAGCTAGAGGAAGGCAAGAGAATATCAAAGTGTTCAAAGAAGATCCAGAAGAGCAAGACTGTTTAGATGACATCAGTGGTAAGAAAATAACCTGAGACACACCAACAAAAAATGCTCAGAGATGATTTGACAGCCAGTCAGTGTCATGAATACAGCAGCAAACTATTTATTTGCTAGAAGATCTGCTATTATGGCACACAGTGGACAATGTGTTCACGGACAAATGCTTCCTTCCAGACAAGTTGGGATTTTAATCTCTCAGTTGGAAAATATTTACTGAGCACTTGCTTTGAAAGGTGCTGAGGGTGATTCAAGATGACTGAGATAAAGATATGCCATTGGGGAGTTTACATTCTACTTTCATATAGAAAACCCTCTAGTAAAAACCTAAATTCAAAGCACTCGCTCTGTAGAGGACATCCTCAGAATCTATGCTCTACCAAGACTTCTACATTCAATGTTTTTAGTTCCTTTCACTCTTCATTTCTGGGTTCCAGGGCCAAATTAGCAATCAAAGTTCTCATATAGACTCAGTCTAATTTTCTCCATTGTTCAAAATATGTGGTCTGTATAGCTGTCTTACAGTTTATATTCAGTAATATCTCAGAGGTCCTAGAACTGTGTACATATTGAGAAAAAGATCCATTCCAAAAAATGCATCCTAAACTTAGTATTTGTTCAATCAAACTAGCTTTCCTTAAACCTAATCAAAATTCTACCTAAAGCAATTCTGACTCACATATTCCCCGTAATTTAGCTCTTTTCATCAAAAATATTCTTAACACAAAATGCAGTCAAAGTCATCTAAACAAAACAAAGAACACCAAATTCTTCCAACATCTACCTACTACATATCCAAGGATTTTAGGATTCACAACTTAAGAAAATTTGGCATAATAATAAAATATATCTAGTTAAATTTCAGAAAAACAATAGTTACATTTTAGTACAAATTTTCCCTAGATATATAATGGGACAAATATCACATGAATATGTATACTAAAAAAGGATTTATTCTTTTTATGAACTTTAATGTAACTCATGTCGTATATTTTATATATTAAATATACAAATCTTACACTTAACTACTTAATTTAAAGTAACTATTATGTAAGTTGATTATAATGAGAATTCAAACCATTTTATTTTAAAATAAAAAATAGCTTCTAGGGCTGAAGGTTTAGCTCAGTGGTGCCACTGCCTACCTTGGAAGTTCAAGGACCCGAGTTCGATTCCCCGTACAAAAAAAAAATAGCTTCTAATGATTAACCCATTTAAAATTTTAACTACAAGCTGCTCATAACTCCCCAAGTTAGAGGTGAAGATTAACTTTTTGTGACTGGTTGGAGAATTCACTTACTTGGCTATCTAGAATCAAGAACGCAGTATTCTCTGACTAAAAAGTTGATATGTCATCAAGTATTAAGATATTTTCAAACCAATTCACTGTAGCACATTCCTTCATTAGTACACAGATGATGCATGCTTTCCTATTCATCTAATGTATTGATATCAGGAAGTATTAGTCCATGCGCGACTGACTACTTAACTTAGAAGGAAACTCTTACCTGATATTTGGTGACTCACTTTGATTTCTCTCTGAAAGGTGGTCCCCCAAAACTTGTAAGTGTACTATTTTAATTAATACTGCAGTCAGTGAAGTGCCGTAGGCTCAGTGAGGACGCTGAGTTAAAAACTCTGGGAAGATTGCGACACCAACACACATCCTAAGGAACTTGACCAGGTTTCCACAGTAAGCTTCTGAGGAAGAGCCCTGCATGTTTTGGGGGTGGCCGGGGGAGTCCATCTCGAAATATACCAAAGCATTCTATCTTGTGAAGGAGGACTTGCAAAATTTGTTGTTGTCATTGTTCTTCATTTGTATGTAGTCTTTTCTCACTGTTAAAAACATTATGTCTGCCCAGTGACAAACAGTATGGAGCATATTTTCATAATGTTGATTGCCATCTATGTTTAATTTTTGGTAAGGTATATGTTCAGGTCTTTAGTCTATTTTTTCCAACCAAATTGCTTTATTATTGTTAATTTTAAGGGTTCTTTGCATATTTTGGATACAAATCCTTTTTCAGACGTGTCTTTTGCA